GGATAATGCGACAGACAGACAGCGAGCAACGAGGAAATGGGCATAAAATGGACCCACAAAAAACCTGGAGGATCTGGACTTCGCCGATGATATTTGTCTGATATCCCACAAACTGGAAGATATGCAAGTGATGAAAAGCCACAAGTTAGTGATAGAAGAAGCATCCAGAGAAGATAGGACTTCCTTCAAGTGAACATAGAGAAAACAGAGGTGATGAAGATTCCTGGCCAACAACAAAAGGCACAGCAACAACAACAGACAACAATCAGCATAAATGGGAGGAGTCTGAAAGAAACTACCTCCCTTAGCTACCTACCTGGAAAGCATCGTTTCAACTGCAGGAGGACGGAACTGACGAGGATATCAAAGCAGTGAGGATCGGGAAAGCAAAACAAGCTTTCATTTCTCTCAAGTTTATATGGAGATCAACAGCACTCCTCAGCATGAAAAATAAGATCCGGATTTTCAACTCCAATGTGAAATCAGTCAGTGTTACTATACGGATCAGAGACTTGGCGCCACGCCGCGTCACTAAAGACACTTGGAACAAACTGTCTCGGGTTACTACTCAAGATCAGATGGCCGGTCAGAAGAGATCAGCGACAGGGATCTTTGGCAATGAAAGAACCAACCCAGCAGGAATCAATTCTGCGACAAATATGTTGGATGGAATGCAGGTGGATTGGTCATACTCTCAGAAAACAAACATCGCACAATATCACACACCAGACCATTACTGCAGTAGAACCCTAATGGGAAGGGGCGAGTTGGTCATCAGTGTGAGGGTGACATGGAAGAGGTCATGCGAAGAGGAGACGAAAGCATGTGGGCGGACGTAGAGCCAGGTGAAAACGTTGGCGGAGAACCTGACGTAATGGAGACGTGTGACTGAAACCCTATGTTGCTGTAGGAACTAAAGGAAGCAATAATGTAATAATAATAAACGAGAAGGATGTGGTTTTTTGGTGTTAGTTACTTTTCAAAGGTCTCTATTTAAAATGAAAATTACCATGAAATGAGTCAGTCTATTATTTGGATATGGTTTCATTACAAATACAATATAAATTTCAGTATATGTATTCACGTAACTTTGGTAAAGTTAATGAAAGTAGCTGTACAAATTTCTTCTAAACACAGACGTAGACAGGTTTGACTTCTTCAGGTGAATTCCAATAGCTTCAGATGTGTGTACAGGATGAATTCGTGAAGCAGGATTATATATTAGTTGGAATGCGAAAAATGACTTTGAATCCTTTTTTTAACATTACGTTCAGTATCTACAAGGTTAGCCAAATAACACTGACGAAATTGTTCTTGTTCTTCAGTTGCTTAATGAAGTTTAGAAATCCAATAATGAACACGCTTAACTGTACGCCCAATGTAACTTGCTCCACAGGAGTAGTCATACTGGTAGATATCCATAGAGGAGGCAAAATCAGATGGTTTATCCTTGTTTCTCGAAACGGAACTTTGAGTTGTGAAGAGAAAGTGTAACTTTACTGCCCTGAATGCTCTTTTAACTGCATTCTTTAGGCCCCCTGTATTACTATTTCATTGATATTGTCATCAGAGATCTGTAGTTTTAAGAAAAGGTATTGATGAAGTCAGAACTATATCACGAGATGACATCGTCAGGATTCATATGTCACTGAGTTCCAGTCCAAAGTGTTCGAATGGTCAGCGAGACTTATATCTCGTTGCTTGAAAGTCCTAAGTTCGATCTCTGGTAAGATCGTAGATGCACACTACTGAAGAGTCTCAAAATGGGACGAGAGAGATGTCCAGTGTTTCCAAATTTTTCAGTGATCTCTCTAACTGAATATCTAACAAATGAAATTGATCAAAATTAGCCACAAATCCTACAATCTGAAATGTGAGTAGTAGGAATGAAGAATTTCACTTCCTCAATATGGAAATCTTATGGACTGGCAACCTGCCTAAAACTTGGGATACCAAAAACTTCCATCTCTCTCTCTTTATTGCACATTTATTTTCTCTCCGGTTTGTTTTAATCGATTAAGATATCACCTTGTGTGTGTGTGTGCATTTAAAATGTTTACAAACTCTTCTGATTAGCAACTTCCTTAATAAACTTGAGGAAAGGCCTGAATGTGGGTGTGACAACGTGTTCCAATACAACATGAGATAACTGTTCTTCAGTTATGTATGACCTTACGTCTCAAAATGTGCTTCTGAACATCTCACAAGGTTGGCTTTCACAGCTAGATATCGTGGATTTCTTGAAAAAAGGAGACAAAGCAGATATATTACATAGTGAAATGGTCTGTACTTCAGCTCACAGAGAGAATTGCGTCACAAGAAGGATATAGTGTCAATTAATTAATATTCTACTTGAAGATACTGTATGAAGAGAGGAAATATCATGCAATAAAGTCCCCTGTAAATACTGAATATTTAATAAATACTGTCCAGAATAAAGAGGTTATTATTATTATAAAACACAAAATAATCAAGCAAAGAATATCCTTTTCGATAAATTCCTCTTCTGGCTCTACAATTATAAATCCATTAATTTAAGCATACAATAGCCAGCCAGTAAAGGCAAATCAGAATCATATCAGAAAGTGTATTGTGGAACAAGTATAAGATGTGATGAAACAATGGTCAGATAGTCATTTAATCTGCATGGACAATGAGAATATGGGATAAAATCAGATGAAGTAATGTAATTTAATGATGTGTGTATATTTATAAATATAATCAACAGAAATACAGGTTTCGAGAGTGTGTGTAATCAGGGTGTGTGAGACAATATGAAAACAAAATAACGAATGGGGCGGTCTAGACATAAGTTCAAGGTTGAAAATTACAACAGTAAGAATGATTGTAAAATAATAACGATGATATGGTGTAAAATTACATGCACTATTGGTGAATGATTGTCAAATAATAATAATGAATATAATGAAGTGGAATGAATAGGATTTTGTAAATACGATAGCAAGGTAATATTTATATATATACACACATCATTAAATTAAATTACTTCATCTGATTTTGTCCCATGTTCTCATTGACCATGCATATTAAAAAACTATCTGACTATTGTTTCATCCCATCTTATATTTGTTCCACAATACACTTTCTGATATGATTCTTATTCGCCTTTACTGGCTGGCTATTGTATGCTTAAATTAATGGATTTATAATTGTAGAGCCTGAAGAAGAATTTATTGAAAACAATTGTTCGCTCTAAATATTTTGTTCTGAATTAATTATGGGAACATTCAATTTAATTATATATACATATGTTTATATATAGAGAATATTCTAGAATAGTAGTCAATAACAATATTAGTGTGGTTTTTAAATAATATCGATTTGTTAAGTAAGATCACAGTGGAATTACCATAGTTCATTAAAGATGCTTAAATTATAATAATAATAATAAAGATATAGTAACAAATAGAATATCAACTAAAATTAAGAAAATTCCTCAAAAATTCAGGATCATTCAAACCTACATGGTCAAGGTAATGATAATGACTGAACAAACTTCTTTTGGGTGCATAAATTGGGCTTGTTAATATGGATCCCAGCAGCCAGCCTCAGCAATATTTAGTAGTCGAACTCCTAAAGTGAAGTTTAGGTTAGTTGGTATGCGGTAGATGACTTCAAAAGTTGCCACGTTGACAACAGTCTTGTGTTCTGTATCCACAAGATGAGATAGAATAGCACTGCGAATATTATTATTATTACCACCAGTCAGTCAAATCAGAGGTGGATAATAAATAATCTTAAAATTCTATTTCAATTCAAACACAACACAACATCCTAACAAGTTACTTATTATGACTATAAAAACACTCGTCTTATTTCCCATCTGATTGTATTTGATTGATAACACTCATATTATTATTATTTCTGAATGTGCTTTATCTTATATTACTGATTTTATTCAAATGTCTGATCATCAATTTATACCCATGTATATAAATGAAGCAAGAAAGTTGTATGAGTGAGCGGGTTGATATGATTATGAGCAGTGATAAATAGTGCTTGAAACGTGGTTATCAGTTAATATTACTGTACTGTATAACACTGTGTGATTTATCAGAATAAAATCTTATCCTTAATGGAGTTACTGGTACTCCCAGTTGTTGGTTTGTTATTTTCATTACCTCCTTTCTCTGTACATTCAAGTTGAGTTTTGTCTTTGGCGCTTCTTCTGACAACTTGTTGGTTTGTTACCTGTAAGTCATCGAGTCTGTGTGACATTAGACATAAATCATCCTCGCACGAAATCCAGCTCTTCTAGCGTCTTCTTATCGATCCAGCATATTCCTGTCTTCTCACTCCCCACGATTTGCCTCATGATCCAGTCCATCACAACGAGGAATATCATAGATGATAATAGGCAGTCAGATTGTCTTACTCCTGTCTTCATTACGAAGGCTTCACTATGCTTTTGATGTGGATCACCTGGCATGTGATACTGTCATAAAGCTGTTGCCTGAGGTTAATAAAGATTTGGGACAGTCGCGGTCAACTCTGTCTCCTTTTCGAAGTAGTTGAAGCTGAGGTACAGATTTAATTACCATTCTATGCTCTGTTCAATGGTGATGCATAGCGTTGCAATTTGATTCGCATATCATTTGTTATTCCTGAGTTCAGCCTGTTCTGGGAGGAATTTTTTATCCACAGTATTTGCAGTATATAAATTATTTTTAATGTTAAACTGACCTGTGTATTTAGCCGAATGTTTTGATTGGTTAGTTGACACAGTTATATGTCCGTCGTACAATGATTATGTGTCTGTCTATCGATCCACTTAAACACGATAATAGCCAATGAAAATTGAGTTATTAGATCATTGAATATACTGGAATATTGTATTATTTTTTATTTCTAAACTTCATCAATCAAGCGATCAAAATGAATTCATAGAATCCTTATACAGTCCATATATTATTACATTATTATTATTTCTTCAACGGACTCCATATTGAAATAACCAAAAAACAAAATAACAACAAAAAATGGTTCGAGGAAGTGCACGTGTTAAATCTGGTGGAGGGAATATGGCACAAGATACTCTGAGAATACACAAACCGCTAGGATTGAATATGAGTTTATTCCAGTTTTTAAGAACTGGTTATTTTGAAAAAGACTTATTGACTTATTGTGCTAATCGTTTGGCTGAATATTCATGTACATATTGGCTTGATCCTACAGTGAATGGAAATAGTGAAACAGGAGATTTCACTACGGCTTTAACATCACCATCAGCGTCAACAACTAGTGAGTTTAAAAATTTTATTTAAATTAGAAATATTTTTGATGTGGAAAGTATTGTCTGAATCATGTTTTTATCAATAAGAGATTATGAAGACAGATGCTGTTTCTTAGGTTCTCTACAAGTGCTACGAATGGGATCCAGCCTAACTGACTTTAGCAACTTAAGGATTGATTTAGAGTGTCCGGATGATGTTGTCTTCCTGGGTGAACTAGCTGGCAAAAAGTGTAAAGTCTTCTAAATACTTTGAGTGGAAATTTTTGAAATGTTCGATTTTCGGTTCACCCATGTGAAATTGTTATGATATCTCCAATTTTGTAGCTGGCATTGAGTTAGGCTGAATAGAGAGACGCCGATGTTGACATGGACGCAGACGCGGTGACCACATAACACTTCTAGAGTACTCGACCATCCTATACACCAGCTACCTATCTCTCCAGACCACACTATTTAAGCGAGAATACAAAACGACGTGAGATGGAAAAGAATGTTTCAATATAAGTTACAGTATATTTACAAAATAATTTTTTGAAATGTTTTCTGTTCCTTTGCGTTCCCAGTGAAACATAGGGGGCTTGAAGCTAGAGCTTTTGGGTTTCAGTGGCAGTGGTTTTATTTTTACGGGGTGGTACTAGGAACTCTCGCGTCCAACCTTCCCTCATTGCCAGGCTTAATACTAGCTAAGAGAGGTTTAGGAGTGCGTCGGCCGGGCATCGAACACAGGATGACGTCAGTGGCTAGCAAGCATTCTACGTTCTTTGCCACCGACGCACTTACAAAACGACACAGCGATATATAATAATAATAATCTACTTTATTCCATAAACAGTACTTATAATACAGAATGGAATTCTCAGCATTTGTCACAATGTTGCATCTGATTTACTCAAAATATAAATAAACTTAAAACAAAATTTCCCAGAGGGATTTGTCCACATTTACGGTAAAAAGTCAAAAATATTCGAAGTACAAAATGAGAATATTGAATATAATAGAAATAATAACAGTGAGTTTGTTTTAAACAGTATTGTCGATTCAGTTTGGAAACTAGCATATTATAGATTATTGAATCTAATGTTCTTTTGATATAGCAGCATGGTGAGGGGAAAGGCAAAATTAACAGTCATAACACAGCTTGAATGATGTTCACACTTATGAAAAAAACAAATAGAAACAAAAAATTGAGAGGATTATAAATATCAGAAGTACAATAACAATAAAGGTTGATGTTGTAAGGGTGGAGAAAATAGTTTATTTAGTAGTGCAAAGAAAGTTAGTTAGTTCATGCCTGACACTATTTTCATTACATAAAATACGTGACGCCAAATATGGTATAGTGGAATTTTTATACTTAGACGTAGTGCGTGCATAAAGTCTTTTGATGGAATGACTTCTTGTTTTACCTGAGGAGACACAAGGTTGGAGCTCTGGGTAAAGTGGGGGATGTTCAAAGTCTGACAAAATTCCTTTAGAAAATTTGTTTCATGAAATCAAGTGCCTATCATCAATGACGATGTCAACGAAATGGCCCAATGGGAAACCACTTGCCCTACTGACTGACAGTCTTCAGAGTTCTACGTAGTATGAGAGAGTCCTTTTCAAGCAATCCAGGAGAGAATGAGGGTGAACAGTAAAGAAGAATAGGTAAAATACATGAGTTGATAAACTATAAGAGGAGGAGGGGTTGAGTTATGCCTGAGTGCCTTAACTTCTTAATGTAAAAAGTCAGACGGAATATTATTTTAGAAATCGCTAAGACATATATATATATATCTACCTGGCCAATGATGCATGCATGACAGAAGATAAACATAAAAGGATAATCTACTGTTTTTTTCGGTGAATTCCCTCACTTAGCTGTACAATCGCAATTATACATAATTGTTTGTTCGTCTGTGTGTGTAAACTAGGTTTGTCAGATGCGTTGGTGGCACAGCAGTTAGGACGCTCACCGACCATACACATGGTCCGGAGGTCGATCCCTGGCCAACGCACTCCTGATATCAATTGTCGGCCTGCTAAATTTGGGCTACCGATGTCACATACTGAAAATTCCATACTTGTACCAAAATACTGTGTGGAATCAAGCTATGATAAAAAAAGAAGAATAAAAATCAGTTAGGTTTATAACTTATGTCATCAAAATGTTTCAAAAAATGTGATGAATAGTCAAACTGTACATCATCCTCATAAATGTGCATCTACCAATTCACCTGCTCGTATGGAAGAGCTAGTTATGTCGGCCATCTGCTATCCAAACGTATTATCGAACACTTACCCTCATGGTTTCAAAAAGGAGAAAAACTTTCCCCCCTCCGAAGCTCTATTCTGGAACACCTGATCGAATCAGGACACCTAGCAAACCCACAAAGTAACTTCAAAGTTATCTACAGAATACTTGGGAATCTTTGTAAAAGAGTACAGCGAATCAAACTTCTTTTAATCGCAGAAGCAATGGTGATTCATCGCAGGTTAAATCTTGAACTCTGCGTACAAAAGAAGTTTGTTCAGTCATTAAATCTACAGTGGACCTGATCTGTTTTAACACTAAATACCTTATTTTGTTTCGTCTTCTTCTAGCTTGTTTGTTTCTTAACTCTATTATATCTTCTTACTCCTTCCCTTATTAAATCTCTACCGCCTTATTGCCACTGTTTTTAACTTGACTGTCGTTCAATTTCAACTTTAGTTGAGCTCTACTTAACCCCGTCATCTGGATTACTTCATTGGTTGGAAGATTTCATCATGAGCTGACATCGGTTAGAAAACCATTGGAAACCAACTAGGGAGTACTGGACAGCCGTTGCTTCCTAGTATGGGACTCTTCACAGTACGCACCCACTGGGGTTCGAACCCAGAACCTTCTGTTTACAAGGCGAGCTAGCTCGTAGACCATTAAGTCACTAGGACCCAATCCAATGGCCAATGGCTGCCAATTCATGACATAGCGTGACCATTTCGCAATGTCTTCTTTGATGAGTTATTGCCTCACTTTCAACCTGCTGTTCCCTAATGGTCACAGCTTCCCACTAGAACCCCAGGTAACTGCCTGAATAAGGCTAGTCGCTAGTGAACATCAGATTAATTTCCAAGTATTGGTTTTGTAGGAATTGTGTTTGATTGGTCGGAAGAGGATTTCATCATGAACTGACATCAGTTAGAGAACCATAGGAACAACAGCTGGGAATACTGAACAGCCGTTTTGTCCTAGTTTGTGACTCTTCATCAGTAGATTACTTCACTCAAATTGCTTATTTAATCTTATTTCAGTTTCTAACACATTAACGGAATTTTTTATCTAAAATTTACAATTATAATGACAAATCTTCGGAAATATTCATTTTGTTGCTAAGACAATTTACTGTATATATATATATGATTGTGCAGCTATATATGGTTGTTTCGTATGTGTGTACATTAAGTCTGTCAAACAAAAATACAGGTGAAGATTGGTTGTTGGAGTTACGTAATACAAAATCAGTAAAGAAAATTAGGTGTTAATGAAATTAGGGTAGAAGCCTCCAGGACAAGATTCCGCATCTGACCACTTCTATGTACATATATCAGTTCACCTTCTGCTGTGGAGCCAGCTACATCGGTCGTTGGACGCGCACCCTATCCAAGAGGATTCAAGAACACTGTCCAGCATGATTGCCAAAAGGCAATAGTGTTGCAATAAGGAGTGCGATAATTGAACACACCTGGTTAACACTGATCATTCCATCTCAACAAACGCCTCCTGCTCCAAAGTATTTTACAGAGTCACGAATAACCTACCAAAGGCAATAAGGTTTGTGTCGTCTTGTTTGTATCTCTGAAGCTCTGGCCATTCACATAGAAGATTACTTAACCACTTCTACTGTCTTGGTAACAACTTGTTTGATTTGATTTTTTTGATTTTGATGACTTAATTTTGTTTCTTTGCCTGTTCTTTTATTGCTTATAATTCTTGCATTCATTTAGAACTCTTACGTAATTTCGTATTATCTATTTTGTTCCCATGTGCATCCTAAGTAAAACTCACTCATCAACCTATTCATATTATTAGATAACTTCTTTTTTAACAACTGTTTGTGACAACTCATCACCTTTGTTATTACCCTAATTTTATTAATACCTAATTTTCTTGACTGATTTTGCATTACGTAACTCCAACAGCCAATCTGCACCTGTATTTTTGTTTGAAAAACATAATGTACACATACATACAAAACAACCATATATATTTGTGATTGTACAGCTATGAAAATTAATTCGCCGAAAATGGACTCTTCTCTGAACTACGTGTTTTGTTTTCATTAATGCCTGGATGGGGACTATCCATGAATTGTGCAGCTAATTGAATGAACTCGCCGAAAACAGACTCTTCACTGAACTGTTTGTTCTTGGATTCATGTCTTTATGTGTATTTTTCATCAATACACCGTTTATCTGGCTACACATCAGAAATGTAAAATGATGCTATAGGACTGGTCTGTACCGCTAACTAGCTTAAAGATAGGGAGTCAAGTGGTTGGATATGTTGACCACTTCACTTATTATGTGACCAGACTATTTCATATTTAGTGTTAAATAGAAATTACAATGTCATTTGAGACCTACATTTACTAATGTTGTTTGCTGAAGAATGTTCTGTACCCCCAGTGGTATCAGGATTCCACTGATGGGTCACTAATACAGCTGATGACTCAGTCATTAAATATGTTGACTTGACCATAATTTTTGTTGATTACCAGGGGGAAGAATAACATCAATGAGTGGTATGAATAAATACTTTGCAGAGCAATTTATTGCATAATATCTTCTCCTTGTCCAGGATCTACAAATAAAAAAAATAGTCTATAATATATCACGCATGGCGCAATGCTGTTCGGTCTGATTATTATTATTGTTTCCTTTAATTCCTAGAGGAACATAGGGCTTCAGCCATGCGTCTCCATTGCGTTCAATTCTCCGCCAACGTTTTCACCCGGCTCCAAGTTTACCCACACGCTTTCATCTCCTC